GCGTTTCGTTTTCGTGGCTTGGATCGACCATCTAGCTACTGCGATTAGGTTGAATCTCACCGAAAATGTTTTCAAATCGATTAACCCTATTTAGATGAACAAATTATCTTAGACGGCATGAGTTGATCTAAAGCGTTTTGTAAAATTATCAAACTAATTTGTCTAGATACTTAGAGAATTGAATGGAAGTTTAGTAAATCTGAGTGAATTGATTTGTGATTAATACTACGTGAATAGGTTAGTCTGTGTTTGATTTCAGGAACATATCTATAGAAAACTTTATGTTTAATTCTCTTGTTAGCTACTCTAGGATTCCCGGAAAATTCTCTAACGCCCAACACCTTCTCGTATTATTTGATCTTATTGTTCACTTGTTTTTAAGTTTATTATTTGCTATTTTCGTCACTGTTCACAACCCGCAAACAAACACCCATGTTTTCATCTTAGCTCAGTTCTCATCTCAAATATACTCGTATTGCAGTTACTTGGTCTTCAGTGGATCGACCCCTAAGTACTACAACGTACATCTGTGCGCTGGCAGAAAGCTAGGGTTAAAACCTGAGCACATCAGTTACCTTAACCGAAATGTTCTGACCTCCTTCATACTCGGTTTTTGCATCTTTCATGGGAGTTTCATGGTTTGACTTCTCCTTAGAGTCTGCGCCTGGTTCTTCTTCAGAGTCTGCTGTCATGGCATTGCAGAACTTCTTTGGATTATCTTCCACTCCTCCTGGCAAAACTCCTGACTGATTTTTCTTAGAATCTGCAGTCTGACCTATTTGTAGTTCCAACTTCTTGACATGGGTTGCAAGAGATTCAAACTTCCCATTCAAGTTATTGTGCATAGAAATTGATTTCTATACGATTTCTCATATCTCTAAACGATTTCCCATTGCTCTGAGATATCTTCATCATGTTTTGTTCGAGCGATTTCACTTGATTGCTCAGCTGAGAGAGAGTTGCTTCTAATGAGCTGGTCTGCGCCTGTTCAAGATTGAAAGGTGGTCTTTGTTGGAAATTTCCTCCTCCATAGTTCCCATTTTGGAACTTTTTTGGAAAATTTCTCTGCTGATGCGGATAGGGCTGGGTTCTCAGCTCCTTGACTTCGGTATGAAAGGTTATTGAAGTTGGCATTCCTGAAATTTTGGTTGAAATATGGATTGAATCGGCTCTGATATGTCTCTTGTGCTCCAACAAAATTCCCTTCCTCTTCTTGAGAATATATGCCATCATCTTCATATCCTCCATCTTCTTCATTATCTACAGCAGTATCACAAGCATATACATTCTTATTTTGAAATTTAAGAAATTGACTTACCATGCTTTTTAGCTCAGCAATTTCACTTGACTCATGACTAATAATAGTCTTCTATGATCTGTCATACTCAGGATTGTTGTTGCTATTGGCTACAGCTAGATTCTCGATGAGTGCTCTCCCTTGTGTCACAGTCTTTAAACCGAAATCTCCATTGCTGGCATTTTTTATGAAATATTGTCAATCTTGCTTGGATTCCATGAATTAGGTAAGTGGGTATATATAAGTTCTTTTGGATTTTTAAAAATTGTAATAATTTTAGAATTTTGGTATAAAATTTTCACATTGAAACGAAAAAATTATAGTCTAATTAAAGATAAATTGATTTAACCAAAATATGGTTGGTTTTTCTAAACAAATTTCCCAACAATTTAATGACATCAGCAGTTAGGTTTAAGAGTCTACGACGATTGAGCATTCACACACACTTACAACATTTAAATTGATTGTTATTGCTAAAAATGTCAAAGCTTGTTTCCAAATTTGATCTAACCAGCAGTTATATGAACGTGAACGTAAAAACTATATAGAGTGGCCGGACAATGCAATTAATTGAGTCATCATTGAAATAAATGTTTTTTATATTAGCTTGGATTATCTTTAATGTGGTTGAGAGTAATGCGAGGATGATAATACAAACACTCTCGTACCATTAGCTATTAGCAATGTTTTAGTTAGTCCATAATGCTCTCTAATCTTTAATATGGTGGTTTTTTTTTATCATAACGAAATTTCACACAAAAAGAAAAGAAATATCATTATTCTGCATAGGTCGATTTCTGTTTACATTAGATACTATGCCTTATAATGAAAAATGATTGATATATTGAATCACATTCACAACCTCAACGGTTCCATTCTATCGCATTAATTATCTGAGAATGACTTGTAAACTGAGTTAGAGTATAGCTGCACTGATAGCATATGTATTAGAATTGACTAGCATTATATAAAAATTTGATGAATTTTGTTGAGAAAATATTTAGTAAAAGTTTATACGATGATTTTTCTGTTTAGGTTTTGCTGTTTTCAATAAATTAAAATTCATTGAAATATACTAATAATGATAACATTCACTATTAGTTTATTATATTAGTGTTAGATAAGATTAAATCTAAAATATACTAAAAGTATAACTAAATAGCAATAATGATAAAAAATAGGGAAATTAGGTGGAAGAGCATGTTTCAGAGACCAAATTTGCACTATTATTTTATTAAGTTTAATGGGTGAGAAATTATCCAGCACCCCACAGTCTTCTTTTATCAATGGTAGTCGATATAAACCTCTAACACTGCAAACTTTATTGTCTGACAATGTAAAACTTTTTGAAAAAAATTTTCTCTTTCTTATTTAGTGAATTTTCGTCTACATATACACATTTTTCTCTGTTTTGTATTTGAATTTCAAATTAAAATATTGGCTGGGTATTGTCTCTCGATATCCTCCATATTTTCTCTCTCTCTCTCTTTTTTTCCCGAAGCTTCTTTGACGGGAATACTCACCAGGCGAAATTCACTACCCCCGTTTCATTCCACCGCCGCAGAAGGACCGGTATAATATTCAATCTCAGCTTTTACTTCGTTTAGTAAGAACATATTTTCTGGTTTGGTCGTTTTTCCACCAAATTTCATCTCTGTAATTATAGATCTATCATTTTGATGATTCTTAGAAACTCCTAAACTAGTTCACGGTCAGATCTACTTTCTGATACAGTTCTGAATAGTTGTTCCCGTACCTTTTAGTAGTCAACTAACAATATCTGTCTACTGATTATCCAGCATGGCCAACATTCCAGTAAACGATGTTCTTCTCCAGATTCAGGATGTTCTGCTCGATATTTTGCTAGAAGTAGCTAAAAAAGCTCCGAAGGACGCTGTGTCTTTCGGTTGTTTATCTAGTACCTTAAATCGAATCCTGAAAAATCCTGCTGTCGTGAAGGTGATCAACATCGCCTCGTTCGTTAAAGATCCCACTTTAATGAATCGATACCCTCTTTTCTTCGAGTCAGCTATCAATTCCGGGAACCCTATTGCCTTGTACCTCCGAGGTATGTCCCGGGTCATTGTTGATTTCGATGTTTTAGGTTCCCTTACTTTCTTCAATCAGGCATCCAAGGGGGGTGTTGACGCAGTGACTCTAATGGCTGCAATATGTGCCACTGCATGTGGTCACTATCCGTTTGCACTAGAGATGTTAGACCGTATAGATGGGTGGAGAAACCGCATGTGCCACATGATTCAGATTGGTGATGATGTGATGGACACAGCAAAATTAATGGTAGTTGATGACCGATGCAAGTTGCCTCAGGTCTTGACTGATTCTTCCAGATGCCGTTGGAAACATCACCTCATTTGCTGCGAGCTGTGCTACCTGTATACCCAGTACCAAACTGCCAGATTCGTGTTCGATCCAAGATGTTAAATTTGTGTTCGATCCTTAATTTTCTGTTGCTTATATGTACTACCCTGAAGTAATCCTTTTTTCTGTATCAACTACTAATATGTGACTATGTAATGTGTTCTCAGTAAGGACGTTGTATGTTCTCGTATTTCTAGTTTACTTCCTTTGTTTGTGAACTAGGTTCTTTCAATTATAGTCTTCTATATACTCATTTTGTAGTCGCTTACTTTTTGTATTAAATAGTCCGCTATGATTCGTTACCTATTCCGACGGAATCAGGAAAATAACTTGAATAACATTGTGGAAAGTCATAAATACCCCTATTTTTCTGTTCACCATAGACTCTCTGAGTAACACTAACATAGCGGTTTCTTCTTTGAGCGTGACAACTGCTTTTTGCTTTGGGAACCGCTAAAAATTGAATTTAAACCAAAAACTTATTCCAACCATCATTTCAAGTCTGCAACACATTTCTTCTCCTTTTATTTTCGCAGATGAACACACAACCGTTTCGTCCTCTTTGTTTTCGATTTCTTTTCCAATCGGTTTTCATTTAATTCAATAGTAACTCTCCCAGAATTACCAAAACCCTATTAGTACCAAGTCTGCACTTCATCTACACTGCACCGCTTAACACCTCATCCTCTTCTCCTGTTACCAGTGTAAGTCCTAATCTATCTTCCAGTTCGAAATCTTCTACACACACTGTTTTCCATTCGATTTTCTCAGTTTTTTTTATCGTGTTCGAGGGTGATGCTAATTTTTTGTGTTGTCTGACTTGCATGTCTTTTACTATCTAGGTAGACCGCTTCCTATAATTCAATATTATAGAAATTGTCAGATCTAGATTTTGTGTAATAGCGTACTTATGCGCATCCGTATACAATAGCCAACTATTATTAGTGGACCACTTTCAACAACCGTCTACCCCGTAAGATCTACATATAGTAGCTGAGTATCAGTTATTGCATTTTTTGATTTTAGTTGTCCTTCCAAACATCAGCACATCCCAAATATAAAAGCCGACTATCATTAGTGGACCACATCCAATCGACGGTTATCCTTATGGTCACATATATTATAGTTGACTATAATTAGTTGCTTATTTTGACATTGTTCCAATATGTAGAAAGCTATTAATAGTCACATTGAACAAAATATGTAGCATATTTTGACATCAGTAGTCGTCTGCTGTTTTCAATAAGTAACCATCAATACATCCATAGGTGGAGTCGCATCTAACACCTACAATACTCGTTTATTGTTTTGCAGTCATAAATCGATGAGTCCATTCCCGGAGAGGTTCTTCAAGTTCGGCTACGAACCTCAAAACAAGAAGGTAAACACGTACTTCCAGCTGAACTACCTCGATGCTATTACCTTCGCACTTGAAGATGACCACATAGACAAGCTTATGGACTCCCAATTTGGGAAACTTTTTCAAGCTGGCAACAAGATCGCATCTTCCGTTAGGTTTCTCCACTTTCTGCTGTCTAGGCAACTCGTTACCAGTAAGAAGAAAGAGATATGGTGTCTTTTCTCTGGTCAGCCAATTCGTTTCTCGATGAGGGAGTTCACTATTGCTACAGGTCTGGATTGCTCGACTCTACCTTCGACATCTGAAGGTGACGATGATGAAATCAAGAGTTACACTAAGCAATTGTTTGGGTCTGAGAAAAATGCAACTCCACTTTGGATAGCCAATACTCTTTTGGGCAGGCCGTACAAGGACAAAGATACCAGATTCAAGCTTGCTTGTCTACTACTAGTTGACGGGATAGTATGTCCCACCTCTAAGAATACAAAAATAAATGGGGATCATATCTTGATGGTTAGAGATGTTGATGAATTTCTCTCCTATCCTTGGGGTCGCAAATCGTTTGACATCACAATGGAAAGCATAAAAACTAGAACTGTTACTCTGTCCAATCTCTGTCAGCCGACCTGTGCGATTCAGGGCTTCTTACACGCTCTTCAAATGGTGGTTTTAGCTTGCGTCCCCAACTTGTTGTCTAAGGATGTTAAGGGGAAGAAACCAAGCTTAGCTGATGATGATGAAGACGACGATGATCTCCCATTACTACGCCCCGGTGCCCAGAAACCAATTACACTTCAGATGAATCATGTTAAAATGGTTGACAAAGACGATAAGGTACTCAACTATTATATAGTCAACTACTTCATGTACATGTAAATCATACTGTTAGAAAATAGAACACTAAGAGTAGTCGACTACTATTACTAGGTCGTTGTAAAACATATCCTCGAAGATGAGGACTCAGTCTTCGACGAGGAGGATATATTACACCCAGATGAAGACGAGGACTCGAAGGTGAAAAAGCTGATGAGTGCCATTGAACATGGAACTGCATTCATCAACAAGTCCTTCGTTGGCGGAGTCAAGGCATCCGAACATAGTAAGCTTCCAAAGCATCCATCATCCTCAACATCATGAAAACCCTCATCCGATGGGGATGACCACCTAGATTCCGGTGCTTCTGCATTTTTAGAGAAATTGCTTGCTGGAAATTCCAGCATTTTGAATGCGGTTAACACACTTACATCTGATTTTCGGCTGATTCGCCGTGATGTGAAATCGGCAGTCAATGAGCTAGCCTTTTTACGAGCCGAGTTCACTAAATTCAAAGAGAGGAGTCGTCCTACTGACACATTACCCATTACAACCTCAAACAAAGTTCACAGAGAAGAACGACAAAAAGATAACCAAGGAAGTAACGATGGTGATCAGGAAAAAGATAACGAGGGGAATGAAGAGGGAGAAGATAACGCAGCAGACCAGGAAGGGGAGAAACAAGTGTATGAACAGAGAACCGGTCATGGTGTTGTCGGTTCTCAAGTTGGAGATGAAAAAGAAGTTACTTTCACCGATGAGACTACCAAGGCGACTAATACGATTGATGAAGTACTTCAAGATTTAAATTCCTGTGATCTGGGGGTAGATGAAAGTACCAATCTCCCAGTTTCGTCCATTCCTGTAACAGATCCAAATATACAGGTACGCAATAGTATTGTATAAATGAAACCGTCTATTTATAAATATATAGTCGATAGTCAGATATTTGACATATTGTTAATTACTATTGCTTTACAGGAGACAGAGGACATTGCAGACGTCCAAGATCCAATTCCCGAACCCGCAAATACAAAGGTTTCAATTCGTCTACTAGTAGTCACCTATTTTATAAAGACACTTTACTTAGACAGTTTTGTAGTGTATAAATGATAGGTCTATTTATAGTTATATAGTCGATAGTCAGATATTTGACATATTGTTAATTCCTATTGCTTTACAGGAGACAGAGGACATTGCAGACGTCCAAGATCCAATTCTCGAGCCCGCAAATGCAAAGGTTTCTATTCGTCTACTAGTAGTCACCTATTTTATAAAGACACTTTACTTAGACAGTTTCGTAGTGTATAAATGATAGGTTTATTTATAGTTATATAGTCGATAGTCAGATATTTGACATATTGTTAATTCCTATTGCTTTATAGGAGACAGAGGACATTGCAGACATCCAAGATCCAATTCCCGAGCCCGCAAATACAAAGGTTTCTATTCGTCTACTAGTAGTCATCTATTTTACAAACACACTTTACATAGACAATTGATTTGTATGTAAATGACACCGTCTATTTATAGTTATAGAGTCGATAGTCAGTTATTTGACATATCCCTTGTTAATTCCTATTGCTTTACAGGAGGCAGAGGACATTTCAGACGTCCAAGATCTAATCCCCGAGCCTGCAAATACAAAGGTTTCTATTCGTCTACTAGTAGTCATCTATTTTATAAAAACACTTTACCTAGACAATTGATTTGTATATAAATGACACCGTCTATTTATAGTTATATAGTCGAAAGTCAGTTATTTGACATATTGTTAATTCCTATTGCTTTACAGGAGACAGAGGACATTGCAGATGTCCAAGATCCAATTCCCGAGCCCCCAAATACAAAGGTTTCTATTCGTCTACTAGTAGTCACCTATTTATAAAAACACTTTGACCATGTACAAAAGTTTGTGATGTTTCAGGTTACCGTTGAACATGATGACTCAAATGTTGATAATAAGTAATCGATTACTAACATGTACAAAGTTTGTGATTTTTCAGGTTACCGTTGACCATGATGACTCAAGTGTTTCCATTTTTGTTTCGGATAACGAACAGGTATGTAGCCAACTACTTCATAACTATCTATCTTTTAAGTTTACATCTGACTAGTTTGTATACGAATATTATTGGGTACTATTGAAGCCAATAGTAGACGATCCTCCAGCTTTTTCACTAGGTCTAACGCAGGAAGAGAAAAACCGTGAGGAATCTCGGCTAAGAGAACAAGAGTACAAGAGAAAAACGGATGTTGGAGATTCTTCCAAATGTCCTCCTCCAACACGTAAAAGCGTGCGCGCCAGAGCTGCAGCTACAACTGCAGACTTTTTTTACCCTCAAAAACGGCAGAAAAAGATCAAAAAATCTGTAGAGTTGTCTTCTTTCTTTCGTAGACCGACCTCCGAACAAGTATCCTTCCTTGAAGCCAAAATTAAAGAAACCAGGTCAGTGTTTAGTATTGATGTTCTTTAATCTTTATCACCAAGGCGAGTTTATATCTGACCAAGTTGATATTTGTTTACTTTGTTTTTGTTGGCCTTTTCCCTTCCTGGTATGGCATTCGCCTTTCTTCGAACATCTTTAATCAGATAATGTCTTGTAACAAGCCAGTGAGCCCTTTGGTGAGCTAAATAACTACTGTCTATGTTTAGTCGCTTACATATTTACGAATTTATCTGTCTACTAATAGTTGTACATTTTTAAAATAGTACATGAATGCCATAGTTGCCTCTATTCGTGATGAGCTGTGGGCAACCAGAGAAGCTCATCCCATCAATTATGATTTCGTTGAGTTCGGATTAATCGTCGAAATTGTCAGGCTTCATGATCAATTTCTATCAAACTCGAAGAAGGCCAAGATAACCCTGCCCAAAGGTACCATATCCTACGTCAAAAACAGATTCCCTTGGTACACTGTAGTCGGTCGTCTCTACTGTCCCTTCCATATTGATGGTAGGCTTTGGATTGGTCTTTGCATCGATTTGGAGGCACACGATATAGCTGTTTTTAATTGCAACCCAACAATTAAGGAGATGAAGCTTAAGACCCTCATAGTACCACTTGCCGAATCTCTACCACACTTCATCAGGAAAGTAGCGTACAACTCAGAGATGAAGAACGACACCCTAGACGCATTCAACATTTCAATTTGCTAAGCCTGTTTTCCAAACAGCAAATCCAGGTAATTAACTATTTGTAGACGGTTATTTCAAATTTGTGATGGTGTTGTTTTCCTAACTACGAGTTTCATTTGTAGCAGGTCACAGCGCCGTACTTACACTCATGCTACTTCAGCTCCACTCAGAGAACATGCCGGTCGACACTGTCATTGAAGACGATTTGGTCCGTGATGCAGCTCTTACCTACGCTTTCGACCTACTATGTAAAGTCGAGCAACCAATTTCATCGGCCCCGCCGACTAATCCCTGAATCTGCCTTCAACATCATTTGGCGCATGTTTCTTGTATTAATCTCTTGTATTACTTATGTTTTTAAAACAATTCTCCCCTTCTTTCTTCAACAAGCTTATGGTACTTAACAGACATGCAAAGTTCATTATGGTTAACTTTTTTTAGTCATATATATTCTTGCTATTCCCACTACATTCAAGTTTTTCACAGATATCATAGGAACCCTTTTATCATGTGAACCCCTTTATCATCTTTTTTCCCACTACATTCAAGTTTTTCACAGATATCATCTCTTTTATCAGCTTTTTTCGCACTACAAGGAACCCATTTGTACCTTGTACATATTACTCATGCAGACATGACCAGATCCCCAATCAGATAGTCGCTGTCATGTGTGTTGCAAATAGCTGCCTATCAATAGGTGTCTGCTCGAGCCACTAAGACCATAACAAGTCATCAAATACTTCGATTCACCCCTTTATATATATATATATCTATTATATAGACAACTACTCAAATATATCCAGATTACGTCCTTACCTTAAACTAATCATATTAAACTTCTTCAATTTCCAAATTTTAAGAGACTAAACCATCAAAGCACATAACACACGATAGATAAGGGAGTCTCTTAAACGACATTAAGCAGTTCAAAATCAAAACATAAATCCCAAAAGTAGAGCCGCCACAACAAATGTCTGAAAATAAAAATAAAACACAATAAAGGTTCACCTGTGTTAACCAAAATAAGGACCATTTCTTCCGAATTCAACAAACAGCTACTCTCCCTCGGTAGCTAAGTACACCACCGGTTCTTAACTGTTCATTTTTCCTTCACCGAAAGTTTGCAGGATGCCCTGTTGTGATCACGACCAAGACACCTTGTGCAAAGTCTGACCGCTTTCTTTTTCGAACGTCTCTGACTCACAAAATAAAAAGGCAAATTTATTCAAATACATGGTAGACAACTACTTATTACAAAAAACAAACTTAGGTAACTGATTTCGAACCTTGAATTCGCCACGAGATGGGATCCTGGTTTTTCTTGGACGTCCAGGCGCATTATTGGAGGAAGCAGTTCAGACTCACCAGTACTTACAGGTGTTGGTACTGGATGGAAAACCCCCTCGTACAGCGATCTCATAAAAGCTGTGGTGTATACTTCTCCGACATACATTAATTTAAGTATATTAATGAATTATTTTAAAAAAATATAATATAAACAAATTTTTACTTACCAATAAGAGCCTGGTTCCGCTTTTCCGGGGACCAGACGTCGTAAAGCCCCCGTCCTAGTAGGGCTAATAAGTCCTCAACCGTAAATTGGGCATACGGTTGAGGAGGGCGGGGTTCAGGAGCCGGTGGTGGAGGTGGTGGTGGAGGCGGTGGTGGAGACTGCTCAGCCGCAATATTTGGAACCTGGGAGGCTCCGGAGGATGACGGGATCTTAGTATTTCCCGAGGCAGACGTCCAGGAAAGAGAGTGTCCGTCCGCCATGAAGTTGATGTAGTGCGTCCTCTGACGAGTCATCGTCTGCAAAACGGAAAAAAATTAATAATTAAATTTATTTTCTGAACCTATTATCTAATTCCGTTCCTAAATCTAACAAATTCCGATCCTAAACTAATTCCTGACCTAAACCTATTCTAATTCTAAATTAATAATAATTAAATATTTAAAAAAGAAAAACATACCTTTAGTAAGAGAGAAGGCGAGAATTGGAGGGAAGGCAGGTAGAGAGAGATAGGACAAGAGAAATGAGCGACGAAGTGAGGAGGGGTGCGTCCATATATATAGAATTTATATTCGTCGTAAATTCGACGCAGAATGTCCACAGAGCCACAAATCGAATAAGACAAACACACTGATATATCATGGTTTTTATGGTTTTAAACCATGGTATATGTCTTATTTATAGAGTCTTTCTAGTGTTTTTCGAGTCTTTTGGAGTCTTTTCAGGTCATAGGTACGTTTGGAGCTTAATTGGAGACTTTGGAGCACTTTGGAGCTTAATCAGGATCAAATTCGTCAAGTATGGATTTTGTGCTTTAGTGACGCTCGACACCATGGAGAGTGACGCGCGACACTTGTTGCAGAAATAAGGAAAACGTGATTTTGTTTCCTATTTGAAGAAGGAGTTGGGCCCAAACGTTTTCAAGGAAGCCCAAAACGTGTCTTAGAGATATATATAGGATTTTTATTCCCTTTTTACGTACACCTTAGATTTTCTTAGAGAGAGTTTTTGTTTTTGAGAGTTTTTGGGGAGACAAGTCTGAAACTCTGTTCCGGAGAGAGAAGATTTCGAACCCCTGTTTATTAATCTATTTACTGCTTACTGCAAGCTATTCAATCATGCTTATTGCTTCAATCTCCATGTCTGAGTAGTTTTCTTGTTAGGTTTAGGGTTCTCATAAAGGATTTCATTGGATGTTAGATTGATTGGTTAGTTAAGGTTCATAATCTATTTAGTTCTTCACCATAGGTGGTTCTTAAAGCTAATTCTGGACTGGCCACCTAGAACTTAGATCTTAGGTTGCTTAATTGACACGGAAGTGTAATTGAATAACTGGAAAGAACCTAGGGTGAGCAAAGTAGCTATTCGCAAAGGAATTTGGTTTAGATACTTTGTGAACATATCGAACTTGAGCATTAAAGCTGGTTTAAATCTTTAGGGTTTGCAAAGGAATTTGGAATTCTAGGATTTTGACTTAGATAATTCTCACAACGGAAGTTGGTTAATTATAATTCTGTGATTCGAGTTCAAGAACTGTGCTTAAACCTGAACCCTGACTAATCGATTGATCTGCATGCATTGATTTCCTGAGAAACGCCCTAAGCCTAATCTCCATCCATCTGAATCTTACAAACCGTTTTTATTGCTGCTTAGTCTAATTCTGTTGCATTGCTATTTATTTACAATATTTCTGCTTAGCGTAATTCAATCTCTATAAGGTTTATTGAGTGATCTCTTGTCTCTGTGGTTCGACCCCTACATACTACAACTGCACATCTGTGCTCTTGCAGAGTAGCTTAGGGATTAAACTTTGAGCAGATCACACACGTGGATTTATTTGGGCTTTGCGATGGTCTTACGACGATCGGGGTAATTCGTCGTAAAATTGTTGTAATATTAGGACAAATTTACGACGAAATCGTATAAAACATAAATATTATAACGGCTGCGTATCTACATATCGTCGTAAAATCAATGTAAAATTACGACGATTTTACGATATATTTTTCAAAAACTGATCAATTGAAAAATTTATACATCCATAAGCACCTACATGCATTACTAAACATTATATATGTGTTCTGTAAAACTTCTTGTATGTTTATACAACTTAATGATGAATTTGGTAAGATCTAAGATGAATCCTTACATCTTTCCGTAAATGTATATATGATACGATCCAAGGTGATCTACTCTGAGGAAAAGGCTGTAGATGCTGCGATTTTATGGACAGATCACAACGATGAAGTGATGGGGTGGTGATGGCCGATGCGATGGTGATGATGGCTTGAGGATCGAGTCGAAGATGGTGATATGGTGATCGGATTAATGAAGTGATGATGGCTTATGATAGTGATGATGGTTTGATGATGGTGGCTTGGCGGATCGATGGCGAGTGATGGTGGAGGGATGAATTCGATGGATATGGTGAAGGATGAGAAGAGAAGATGATGAAATCGAGTAGATGATAGGTAGCAGATTTTCTTGTAAGAATCACTTGTAAGAAAATTGAATTCAATGAACTTTTTGAGTCAAGGAATCAAAGCAAACTTTGCTCTCTCTTTTACGTTAAAAATTCCAAGCTGCCTAATGACTTAGGCGATTTCTCTATTATATAGACTTAGAGAAATCGCAGCCCTAAAGAAACAAAACTACATGAAGTTTAAATAAAAACAACAGGAAGTTTGATTTAAAATAAAAACAGCGAGGCGTCCCTAAAATCCTAAGTGGTGCGCCAAAATACTAAGTGCACAAGTCATTGTGACTTTGCACATTATTACCCATTAGTAACAACTTCTAAGTAACTCGACGTAGCAATGATTTCTGCCTCGTTAAAAACCTTGGAGAAGAACCTCCTTGCCTTCCAAAATCCTCACCAAGGAAAAGAGTACAGAATCATCACCTAAGTTACCTAGTCATTGTTACTGGGTTCTTCATTCTTCAAGATAGAGATGTTGAAGATGTGAGCTCCAGCCTCCTGGTGATCGCTGTCCTCTGTGGCAATGAGTGCATGAGTCTCCTTAGCCATCTCTCTAGCTCTGGAACGAGTGATCCTGCCAGCTACCTCTGGTTCCTCCTCCTCTGAGCTGGTCACGATCATATCATCCTCTCCCTCTTGAAAAGGATTTGCCCTCAAATCAGAATCTGCAACAAAAGGAAGCAAGTCAGAAACATTGAAAGTATCAGAAACATCATACTTACCTTGAAGATCAATCTGATAGGCGTTGTTGTTGATTCTTTTGATGACTGCGAATGGTCCATCAACTCTGGGCATTAGCTTGTTCTTTCGCTCAGCTGGAAATCGCTCCTTCCTCAGATGGATCCACACCAGATCTCCTTCTTCGAAAATCAGTTCCTTTCGTCCTTTGTTGGCATGCTTCTCATACTGCTTTGTCTTTTTCTCGATATTCTCCTTAGCCTTAGCATGAATTCTTCTGACCTGTTCAGCTTTCTCCTTGCCATTCAAACTGCATTTTCCACTTAAAGGCAAAGGGATCAAGTCTAGAGGTGA